CATACAATACCTTTACAGTTCTTGTAGTGGGAGACTACAATATAATTTCCATAGGTTGGTATTAATTTTAATTCAAATCTGTCTTCAATTTTTAAGGTTAAGGAAAATATTCATGACGAGAGCGACATTTTTGAGGTTAAATCCATCGGGGGAGGGATCTTCTCGTTGATAAAACTCTATGGTAGCGAACACTACTTGGCATGCGACCAAGATGGCAATGTAACTTTAGTTGAAGATAAGCATCCGGAGAATCCCAGCCCTCAAATTCTTTTCAGCTTTAACAAAGTAGGTGTAGTCCATGACAACTGAAGAATCATGGCTGTTTTCTCTGTTGAGTCAGCTTCTATGGACGAAGCTATGGACGGTTTTCTTAATTCCAGCATTGTAAGGCTTAAAGATATAAATTGTGTAACAGGTAGATATCTGACATAAGGAACCTTAAGCAGTCAGGACGGCAACGCCAAGGAAGACTTTGATTAAAATATAAATTTCTACCCGTAATTAGAATTTCAAAAATGGCTGCGTGTGTTTACCGTCTCATACCGCGCCACACCTCAACTTCAGCATAACGTATCAAATATTAAAGAAGCGTTGAGTTCCAAATAGAAATTAAAATAATTTGCCGTTGCGGTTTCGGTTCGCAGACGACGCAAATTGTGGTGATTTCACGTTGTTGTTTTGTATAGGACGGCTCAGAAATGTACAAACGCACGTGCTGGGCTGCATCTTTTGTTTTCCATGACCTCGTTGCCGTCGCCGTCGTGGTTTGCAGAAGGTGAACCGCCACTGCATGTTTTTTGGCCTTGATTGGTTTTATTTTTCATTATTGTCTTTATGGTATACTCATACTCATTATAGAATTGATATTATTATGTATTCAACTCACTATCTCTTTTCTAATTGGCCGAAAGTGTTCAATGAATTTTCGAAATCAGCGCCTAGGACGTCATCTACCTGCAGATTTTACAATAGGGACCTTAAGCAGTCAGGACGGCAACGCCAGTGAAGACTTCAATTAAAAAATGAATTTCTGCCGTTAATTAGAATTTTAAAAAAAACTGAATGTGTTCACCGTCTCATACGGCGCCACACCTCAACTTCAGCATAACGTATAAAAGAAGCGTTGAGTCCCAAATGGAAATTAAAATATGTACCGTCGCGGTTTCGGTTTGCAGACGACGCAATTTGTGATGATTTCACGTTGTTGTTTTGCATGGGACGGCTATGAAATGTACAAAATTTTCAAACGCGCGTGCTGAGCTATTGTTTTGTTAATTAAATCTATTGTTTTTCCATGTCCTCGTTGCCGTCGCCGTCGTGGTTTGCTTAAGGTCCCTAATAACATGTCAAGGTCACTCAAGGTCATGGGTAATCATGTCATGTAAGACCGCGGTGCGTGATTTCGAAGGGCAGTCATATCAACTTCGCGCACTTTGAGTTGCTAGCCGTCAGTGGAAAAGCAAAAACATGACTTTCAGGTTTGCTTTTTTGACCGAGCATGACTTCGAAAAAATAGTAGTATTTCGCTTTTTATAACTGTAGAGTTCTCTTCAGTTAAACTTAATTATGGCTATTTACTTTCTAAACCAGCTTTTATTCAATTTTTCACATATTGTCTAATGCTTAGAATTTCTTGTCAGTCGAATTATATGCCGCTGATTTGTACGTTTTTACACGTTTAGAAATAAACTATCAATTCCACTTATTGCCTTGACCATTGGTTTTTTTTTTCGTTCAAAGTACAGTAAAACAATTATTAAATGAGGTTTTTGTGATATCCAGAATGAACAAGGACTCGCTAGGGATATTAGTCATAACCCCTACCTCGACCTTCATTATTCTGGATATCACAAAAACCTCGCCCAATAATTGTCTAAACTCCGACCAAATAGTGACTCATAAAAACACACAAGTTTTTCACATGGTAAATAAACTGCTCAAGGTGTGTGTTTTGTTAGTGAATGATAGCCGAATTCACAGGGTCATGAAGATTACTTGGGATGACAGTGCCGTTGAACTCGGCTGCTGTGAATGATGTGGCCTTCTACTCAAAAAATCGGAAAGGATATCAGAGCAAGCTCTTAGTTGTTCACTAAGGGGGAGGGGGGACATGCAATTGCTGAGGCTTGACAGCTTTAGCTCAGTTCCACGTTTTGTACTCTGATAGAGCACACTTTTGTACTTTGATAGAGCGCGCTCTTTCAACCAATGGCAGCGCGCGCTAGATCCGAACTTTATTGTAAGAAAGTGTAAGTTCGACTTTTAAAAAGTCGACCTAATTCACAAGTGCAACGGCCACATTGAGAGAGAAACGAAACCGTTAAAGACGAAGGGCTAACGCTCGAAAAGTCAGCTTTAAAACTCTTTACGGTAGCCAATCAACGTTATCAACTCAGGCTGATAATACTTCATTACCTTGTTATACTCTCCTACCCACGCAGCACCACAGTTTCTTCAGAAACTTACCCCCTTTAATCATTAAGGAGAGGGATCGTTATAGGCAGATAGCAGTGTAATGCAACACATGATTGCAAGGGTTAGGGTGAGATCAACAGTAAATCAAAATTTTAAGAATATGCCATTGCGCACATTTTCTTCTTTTCAAAGTGTGGCACTACTATCCTTTTCGGACAAATAAAACTGAGGTAAATTACAATTTTTCACTGAATAAATTTAATGTTGGAAAAGGTTCTCTGCAATCTATTAGGATCAACCACTTAGAATTGTCCCTTCCATCTAGTCTTCTAACACGAAGAAGGAAAGACGGAATGGAACTTCCATTACCAATGACATATTTGCCTTTGGACTGAATCCTCCCGGTTAATCAAAAGCAGAAAAGACTCTAAGTTAGCAACAGTGAATGAAGATCGTCAACTTAAAGCGATCATTAAGAACTATTTCTCGGCGATGTACAGATTGCAGGCAGAGGAGTCAGGTAACTTTACGCTTAGCCGCATCTGAAGGGGTAGGGGGGGCAGACGTAACGAAGGACTCAATTTCATCATATCTGATGGTTTTGGTCTGTAATTTTTTTCTTTTCAACCCAGACTTAAGTTTAAGATTCTTCCAGGTTGTGCAGTTCTCTCCTGGCCGAATGAATTGCCTTCAATGATATATCCTTCCACATCAGAGATGATCGCGACCCGAGCTCTGATGAATATGGAATTGTTTGGGTTAAAAGTCGAAACAAATCTAACTGAAATATCCATTATTTACAGAGATCCAAGCTTTCAATATCACTTATGGGTGATAAAGATATGAATAAAAATTCACAAGCAGGAAGTGACCGTTCAGTCAACTTCCTCTATTTATTATTAACCCTTTAACGCCCAAGATCAGATTGGTAATTCTCCCCTCTATCTGTTATACGTATCCTTGTGAGTTAGTTATGAGAATTTAACAAATAGATTCCAAGTTGCCGTGCGTCTGTTCAGTAATAGATCGCAGATGACGTCAAAATGTGGTAAGAACAAAAAAGTGGCACACGAGGCGCAGCCGAGTGTGTCACTGATGTTCTTACCACATTTTGACGTCCTCTGTGATCTATTACTGAACAGATGCACGGCAACTTGGAATCTATTTGTTTTATATAATAAAAGAATTTTAAAAAGTTTTGATGATGACGTCATCTATACGTCTGTCCTCCAATAGATCATAAGTGAGAACCAATCAAAACGCGTGCATAACTGAGCTTATTATTTAAATGGTGTTAGATCAAGATAACAACTTCAACCTGATAAGTTTGAATATTCCCATAAGCTGTTTGGTGGATAATGTAAGGATATATAATAGGGAGAAGTTTCATGTTGATCACTTCTGGGAGTCAAGATTTACAATAGCCGATCATCCAAGACCACAGCACAAGTACAGTTTGGTTTAAGATTATTAAAACAGTCAATGACCACAAAATAGGGATTACCATATTCGGAAAATTAATACTTGGAAGTCCTTTTACTTGGAAGTTACGTTGAAGACCGAAACGTCTCCAAGAATTCGTTATTCGCCTATTAATAAAAAATTTAAGTTATAATACCTTATTCAGCATTATTAACTATGTATAAGGTCGGTTGCACTCCATAATCGAGGCATGAAGACTTAGCCTAATGTTCTGTGCTGATCAATATTCGATAAAAAGGAAATTTTATTAAGAAACTGCGTTAAAATATCTGCAAGCAAAGATGACACCACAATAAGGAACCTTTTGCGGTTGCAAGTTGTTTGTTGACTTCTAACAGTTTTTGAAAATGTCACGCTGGTTTTTTTACTACCGAAGTAGTAACTAACAATTTTTTTTCCAAGGGCAATTTTGTAGGATGGCCACATCGAAAGAGTATTTCGAGAAATCTCAGGAATGCGCCATTTGCCTGTAAAAAGTGCCTAGAGAGACTGGTGACTAGAGTTGACCGAGGTGTCTACGAGATCACGTGCCCGAAATGCAAGCGAAAGAGCGCGGTATGCAGAAACTTCTTTATGTTATCATTGGCTTTTGGAAGGCGAAGACTAAAAGTTATTAGAAGCTGCTAATGATAAATACCAAGAGTCTCAATGATTTTGAATGTCGATGTCATTTCTGCAATAATGTGCTCAAGCTGAATCAAAAATCTGAAAGAAAAAATAGTGTAAAGCCTACCAGAATAACTGGACTGATTTTTTTGTATGTTTTAACCTCTTTGTTTTAGATGTAGCTTGTGTTAGCAAAAACTATTTAAAAAATAGGGAGTTTTTTGTACGTTTCTGGATACTTTTAATACTCTTAATACTTTTGGTAATTGTATTAGTTTTATTCCGTATTTGTCATTAGATTTGAGACTTCTTTTTAAGATAATGATCACACATCTAGTTGCATGTCAAGTCTAATCTCGTAACCAGATTTTTCTTACAACCTCTTGGCCGTAGAGGTCTTGGTACGAGACTATGTCGAGGCAAGACAACAGATGTAACGGCAACTAGCAAGACCGAGTCACGCTGTAATAGTACTTACCGTGAATTTCAGGAGCTAACAAAGCATTTAAAACACTCTTCTTCCAACTTATAGATGCTATTGTGGTAACTTTTAGGTTACCACTTTGGATACAACAGTTACAGCGTGGTTGAAATTATCGAGTATGGGGTATTTTCCTCGGCTTCTTGAATGTCGCAGACAGAGATTTCTTGTGTGCGGGGTCATCTTTGGATTGTTTTGCGTCGCCTGGATCTATATTAATGTGCAAGGGCAGACTACAATCGAAAACGTTTCTGGTGATGTAAAACCTTCGTTTCTCGGTCATCATGGAGTATCCGAGAATGAGCGAAGAATATGGCGGAAAAAATTCTTCGCCGGTGTAAAGAAAATTCTGGGTCAATTCAAGGAAAATCGAAGCTATCCGAGGGAGGGCCACGAAAATGACACAAAGCTATCAGAACTCAAACGTATTCGTAGTCATCCAAGGAAGAGTTTTGAAGTTGCAGCACACAATGGTTTGTTTCACTTTTTTGAACCTGGGTCATGTGACGCTATTTCCCCAGAAATGGTGCTGTATAACAGGATATTTAAGACAGGCAGTGAGACGGTGGGAACACTATTTCAGTTTGTGGCAACAGTGATGGATTATGACTATGCCAAGAGTAAGTTGTCCTTTCGATTATGTGCGCTAATTGTACGTGTAGCTTAAAGGGGGATTTCTCAAGAGAGTTGGGTTGTGTTACATTTAACCTCTCTTGATGTCACATAGTGGGAACAGAGACAAAGAGAGTTTCATTTCGTAACCTGGCGATCGGCCAATTTTCCGATTCCGTACTCGTTTTAGGCAGTAATCACGAGATTCGATTGCTGTTCGGAAAAAATAATTTCGAGTGATTTTTTTCAGTACGCGTGCTGTTTGAAAAGTTTACGAATGGCTACTTATTCCAAATCACGAGAAAGATTATGCGGATACTTATTACTGAAGTAGACGAATCACGTGCAAAAATGATTTATTTAACCTTATTTTATTTGTCGTAGACAACTACTTTCAATCAAAACAACAATTTTTTTTTGTTAGGTCCAAAGCCCAATTTTCACACTTTATGGACTGATTATCACACCTCTACTCTCTAAGATCCTGTAACCTGAATTTTGTGTTCTCTAAGCTAATAAGAATGGAGAAGACTGTTTCTCTTGTATATAATCAACTGAAAAACCTCTCTGTGGATCGTGATAGGTGTGAACTCCGTATACGGAGAGCGTGATTTTTTTATTCGAGACTCGTGGAATGGAAAAATATCATTCATGACCTCACCGCGCGACAGCCCTGTTACTTCCGGCTCCACGATGGAGCTTGACGTTTCTTTTAGACAGAGGTCATGTTGTGACTGGTTTTCTTCACAGCCGTTAGGCTGTCTCGTCACACAACGCACTCTATCCTTCCCCCTCTTCCTTTTTTGATTGGGTGAAAAATCGTAGATGCTAGGGTGAGTTTAAACGAGAAAAAATGTCGCGTTTTTCGATGAATTGTGAGTTGTTTCATCTGATTAGAACTAAATTAAGGACAATTATTAAGCCCTCCCACTCAGTCAATAAGTAGTCTGTGTCTGGAAGGATGCGATGTTGTGGCGAGTAATTTAGTGTTAACAACTGAGTTGAAAACGTAAATTGGCCACTATAGAGAGTTGAAAGGCTGACGTTTCGAGCGTTATTGGATTAACGAATTATCCCCAAATTGATATTCTTCTTTATTCTCATCACTTTTCTGGTTTATATTGTATTGATATTGTAAGAAGAAATTCTGTCTTGGTCATTCATGATAGTTGGAGGGTTAATTGTGCGCGCCCTCGCTGAAAGAGTGCTACCACATTGGCAACTTAAAGTGCCAGAACTTTGAGAACAACGAAATGATTTTGAGGGAATCCCCGTAAATGTTTTTTTTGCTTTTGCTTTTCCTAAGGAACGACTGAAGATTTTTATGATGAGGGCATCTCTGATCCTTACCCAATGATCATTGAGCGAGCAGCCCGTGCCATTGGTAATAACATCTTTTACAACGCACACTTTTATTTCCGCGATAACTTGAAAATTCAACGGACTCATACGTACATCAATCAGGTTAGAGAGCCAGTTTCCAGATATATATCTCATTACTCTTACATGCACAATACAAGGCATCGACCTGCGTGGCGAATAAACAAGATGATTCGAAATGGAGAGTTGAACGAGACAATCCAGCACTGCTTCGAGAGAGAAGGCCAAGGATGTAAGAAAAATTTGATGACGCGTTTCTTTTGCGGTCCTGAGAAATTTTGTAAGAACGATGGAAGGAGAGCTCTTAAAAGAGCCAAAGAAAATATTCTTAAGCACTATGCAGTTGTGGGATTGTTGGAGCACTTTCACCTTACTTTAAAGGTTCTACAAAGGCGTCTACCTTACTTTTTACCTGTTTTCCCGAGGAATTCTGATGTTAAAATGAACCAAGCTGTGAAGAGAAGTTCCAGCTTTGTGAGTGAGGAAATGATGTTAAGGATTAAACAAGCAAATTGGGCAGATGTTGAACTTTACGACTTTGTCAAGCAATTGTTTTGGAGACAAGTAAAAGCGTGTGGGGTATCATGAAAGAAGTATTTGATGAGATAAAAACCTACGTCGAATTCTAATAAGCATTATTAATCGCCTGATGTGGGGGTTGCAAGAATTTTATGGAAGGGGGGGGGGGGGTCAGATGGTTTTCAGGGGAACTGGGGAGAGTTCAGTCGTCGCTTACAAAGTATAATTAAAAGTGGAGACTAGTATAGAAATTTACTGAGTCTAAAGAGGGATCATTAGAATACTACAGAGCCTTACGGGGAGCGGAGTGGGTCAGGTAAATTTTATCATGACACAAGCAAAATCCTCCGAACACCCTCCCCCATCCCTAAAGGGAAAAAAAGTAATGGCTTATTCCTCATTTCCAGGAAGTTTCTATTCTTCGGTATCGGTAATGGTAATGACAAGTTCCACTGACTGACTATTACTGATAGGAAACGAGCTCATGGGGACTCAAAGCTTTTCATTTGTCCTACGCTCGTGGCAAGACGAAAAACATCATTTCTTTATCGAGCTCAAAACTTATCATCTCTCCTTTTCTATTTACAAACATGACGCTATCGACATTGCTGGTCCTAGCAGTATGCAGGGCACGTGTCATATGAACTTCATAATAGACCTCACTTTTTTTCTATTTACAAACATGACGCTATCGACATTGCTGATCCTAGCAGTATGCAGGGCACGTGTCATATGAACTTCATAATAGACCTCACTCACCGTGGAGTCTCTGTAGCTCAGTGGTAGAGCATTGGAACGCGGAATCCGAAGGTTTGAGGTTCGATTCCTTATGGGGACTCAGAATATTTTCTTTGTCCCACGCTCGTGACCTGAAAATTATCTCTCTCTAAGAAACGATATGTATCTATAATTGAAAAGAATATCTTTAAAACGAAACGAGAATAAAATGAAATAAGGGATACACTTGGAACTTCTTTCTAACCCTTCCTAAATTCCTTCCCAGACCTTATCTTCGTTCCCTTGGCAAAGTTTAAAAGAAGCCCTTGGGACGCTCAATGCCTTTCTTTATATGTTCTGAGAAAAGCGTGCAGAAAAATAAGCTACTATTCTTGTTATAGTATACAGAACAGCACTTCGATATTGCGTGACATCATGTTGCGTTGCGTTACATTACAAACTGTCTCAGTTCTTTGAGGAAATCACCATATAAGAGCATTAGCATTCAGCGTTGTCTTTTGGTACGCTTCTCCCTACGAAGAAGCATAGAATAAATCAGTTCAATGATATGTTGCTGATATTGCTTAGTTCTTTATCAGTGCTACTGTACTATATGTAGCCACATTAGAAGTGTATCTTTTTCAAGATTGCACAAACTCTCTTTATTCCTCATATGAATGACTGTTATTTGGGACACGTTTATTCAGTGGTAGACCACCAACAAAGTCCTTTTTTCATGAAACAGCAGATTTTTTCCTGCTTTCATATTCGTTAGGTTTCCGTAGATCAGTCCCGAACCCGCGCCGGCGGACGTAAAGTTTCGAGGAGTCCCGAAAGTTTCCTTGCTGGTGAGCCGTCATTAATCAGCGGTTGCAGTTTGACAGCTTGGTCGCAGAAGTGCCAAGCAGTTTGCGGCTGGTAAGGCGTTAGGTCTCGAGAAGGATGAAAATGAAGTCGTTCATTTTGATGGGCCTCCTTAGCCTCCTGATAACCACACATGCTGCTGTCGGTGACGAAGAGGTTGTAGAGGAACCAATGCTAGAGCCAAAACTGTCACAAGAGTCGGAACGCGAGTCAAACGCCAACGACGCGCCATCGGAAGAGGTCAACTCGGAACCTCCAACGGATTCAGCAGAAAACTCTTCCGAAGATGACAAAAAATATGCTCTGGGGTCATTATGTAACTATTGTACCTATTGCAAGGTAGGTGTCGTTGTTAAACTAGATATTAGGAATGCCTGACGTGATCAGATACAAATTTTCGTACGAGGAATTTCTGTACGGTGCGAACCGTTGCGGACTTTGATCTCGAGATCACAGTGAAGTATGCATCAATCAAATTCCGCATATTATTCCTTTGCTAACGATCTTTAAGTAGGATTTAGCATGAGAAATGCATTTCTTTCTAAAAGTTCCCAGTCTTCGCCTGTGTGGACGTCGGTTTTTTTCGTAAAAGAATCACCCCCGCTCTGACGTGATCAGATGATGACAAACTGATGACTCCGTTAAAAAGTGAAAATGATCGCAACGTCAGACAACGTTAAAACAACCAGTGAGATTTAGCTTAGCTTGTGAGCTTTGCCACCCTTTGTCTCTTCAGGTCACTTGAAAAGTTGTTCTTCCGTGTATCCAAAATGAATTATTCATGTGTAAACAAATATTTGACAACTTGCAATTAAAAGCATTGAACATACTACCCGTCGTAATCCTAAGTTTTACCGGATAACGACAGGTGCTCACGTAGGTACTCAAACACATCACAGGCCTGGTACTCATGTGCTAGGTGGTGAAGTGTTCTTTCCATGAATCATCCTTCTTTAATGGACAAGTTAACCCTTTTATTCCTAGGAGTGATTTACTTGCAACTTCTACCCATAACATCCATACATTATCCATGAAGCAGGTCTGATAATATTTAGATAAAAGATTTATCATGATCTAACAATTAATTCTTGTTACCAAGTTACAAGGAAATGTGCAGCAGCGAAGCAAGAGAATTAGCAATTGTGGGATCATGGGAGTTAAAGGGGTTTTTAAAATTTGCTAGTACCCTTCATGTAGTAACTCTGATAACTCACTTTTTTCTGGTAGTTTTGTGAATTATGTGACAAGGATTGTCCCTGTGAGAAAAGTAAGAAAAAGCCAAACTGTCACTTGTGCAAGGTAGGTGAAAGGTTTTTAATCTGTAGATTACCCCTAGTACAAAAATTTGAGGGCAAAATTTATAATTATCACCTTTCAGAATCACTACCTCTGTCAATAGCTTATTATGAGAAGTTCAGTGCCATTTTTTATTGTAATTATCATATTTCTTTCGCTTTTTCGCTTTTGTAATTAGTCTCTGACATTGATTTTTTAACTAGGTAAATAATTAAGGCAGCTTATATTAAAGAATCTTGCATTCTGTTTTAAGCTGTCCTTAAATTGGTTGAATTGACTAGTTCAATGTCATTAATTTGGAAGTTATATTTAAGTTAAAGTACTGGTATGTGTTACTAGAAAACACGGTACAGTCCTCAAGAATGAGCAACATACTGGAATTTCATTAAGGAATAGTTTTTTTCTTTTTTTCATATGTTTTGTGTAGTGATCAGCTTTGTATTATTTTTTAATGTTTTGTTTGTCTTTCTGTTTGTGTTTACAGTATTGCAAATATTGTAGCCTTTGCAGTGTTTGCGACACAGTTTGCACTCCAGGTAAGTTCAGAGAATCAGTAAGATATGAAATCCTATCAATAGAGCATAATTGTTTTTTTTTTACAATTATTATTATTATTTAAAAATCCTTTACCCTTGCATGATAACAGGCTTCAAATACTTACAACAATTTTATCAAAATGAATAAGTTCTTGTGCAATTTGAAACCCTTCAAATTACAATGTTTTTGCTTTTAAGAGAGTAATATTTAAAATGTTGATGGAAATGTTTAACATGAAACCAAGAGGATGTTAGTTGCCAGCAAAATTCTGAGTATATGTATAAAAAAAGAAAGACACAATTTAGCAGTATGATTCAGGCTCTGCAAATTCTGAGAAATTATGTTGCAAAGTAGTAAGGGGTCAGTTTTTCAAAACAACAAGGAGCTGTTTGTTACATTTAAACACTTGAATACCTTGCACAAGACAGCTATTCAATTTTGTTTGTTTTGACCACAGGGGGAGTTATCGATGTTGTGAGTTCAGCTATTTACAGGTAAGTTCTATATTGGCCTATTAACAAGAAAACAAATATTTAAATGTGAAGCCTGAAAATATTTAAAAAGCTAGTTCTAGTTAAGTGGCATCATATTTGTAGGTCCTTCATAGAGTAAAAACCCACAATAGCCCTTTCATAAGGTAAAAACCCACATGGTAAGATGAAAAAAACATCCATTCAAGGCATAGCCTACATGTAGTGTGTCACTGATGTTCCTGCCACATTTCGATTTCTTAGGTGATCTATTAAAGAAATAAAAAATGAGCCAAAGGGGAGTGCTTCTTGCACTTCTCAAGTGTTCTTAAGAATTCCCAAGTGTTTATATAACTCAACAATGCTTGAGGAACAAGTTTTTTTATTTCTTTTATAAAATGTATGGTGAATTGTGAGCGCTTGTACTAATGACATAGGCACATGCTTTATGGAAATATAATGATCTCATTCTGACCAATCACAGTGTGCACATTTCTCTGAACATTTTATAATACTGAATATAAACACGGCAACAAATCATCTGTTTTTTCTATGTAACATACAAAGAAAATGTTTTTAATTTTGAAATCATTTATACATTTTTCCTCCATTCTGATATTAATAACAAGCTGAATTCTGCACAGGTTTTGATTGAGTCTTATGATCTATTCAAGGACAAATGCTTACATTAATTTTCTTGGTTTGTGACAAATTCTAAAAAAAGCTGACTTGTTACGCATTTTGACCATATCTCAGTACTGATCTTAAGAACAAATAGATTCCATATTGCCATGTGTCTGTTAAGGAACAGAGCACAGATGATGTCAAAATGTGATGAGAACAAAAAAGTGGCATACAAAGGACACTTGAAAGTGTCAGTGATGCTCTTACTACAGCTGAAACAGACCCACAGCAATATGAAATCTACTTTTTTCAAGATAATAAAGCAAAAAAAAAAAGTTAATGGTGAGGTCATCTATAGGTATACCAAAACAGTGTCTTTCTCTACTCACGGTTAAGTCACCAAAAGACATAATTCTGTTAACACATATGTATTTTTTCCTGTAGCTCTCTTCCATCTTTTGACAAAGAAACAAAAGAAAAAGTCGACAATGACATCAAATCAGCCAGGAAATGGATCAAGGAATACCTCTGATGATTTCTTTAAAGATACACAGGATTGCAAAAATGTTGACACTTCAAAAAGTGTCTACAGTGAATGATGAGACCTTGCAGCTCTCTGCCTACATATATATATATATGATAACACCATTAGCAGGTAGTGAATGATGGAAACAATCCACACTTTCCTCAATGAAAAGGACTACCACATAAAAGGTTTTTCATGAATAGTGAAAAAAATTTCTCACAAATTAGTTGGGTCTCATTACATGGATCATGCTTTTTTGGTGTGAACATTTTTGCAATTGAGTGTAAACTGATCCAATGTACACAGTTTTTAGAAATTTTTCTTATTATACAAAGGTTGCTGACCTTTTCAAAGGTCCTTTTAATGCTTACATATTTGCTTCATCAAGTATTGAAAAAAAATTGCCTTTGAATTGATTTTGTGGAAAAGTTTATCTTGTTTATGAAAAGAAAAATAGCATATTGAGAGTAAAGCAACTTAAAGCTTACTATTAAAAATACTGATTTTATGACAAATTTGAGTTGGATTTTTATTTATAATTATTATTAAAAATAATGAATAAATGTTGATGAATTTAACTTATGATCATTAGAGATTATTGTTAAATCACTGATGGTTACAGAAACAAAATCTCCCCTCAGAAAAATTGTAGTAGAAAAAATTTGCATCTCTGCTCTTAATCAAAAAGCACATACCTCTCCAATCACATTTTATTAGTTCCAGTTGACTTTGGTCATTATGAAAGATGAGCATACATTGTTGAAAAAATGCAGTTTCTTTATTTTGAACATCTGTTTGATGCTATGAATCTTTTAGACACAATAAGAAAAAGTACTAAACCTTTCTAATTTTGCCCTCTAAACTGAAGACGTTTTACACTTATAGGCTAAACACTTCAAAAGTAAGTCTTCCACTGTTTGCCAGAGTCTCTTCTCAATGGGCAAAATGTGCTGTCTACTTTGAATGTTTTAAACAATTTGAGGTGGTGTGTAACAAGTGTCACCACACAAGGTTAATTTAAAATGGCCACCAACCATATTCAATGTGCTTAAAAACCAAACACTCAAAAGTCATAACAATTGTGACTGCAATGCTAAGATTATAGAGAAATCCAGTAAAACAGTCTTTTTAAAACAGTCTAACAGTACAATAATTGGAATTGCCATGCCATACCCACTATTTCAAAATTCAATTTATGGTCAACACATCTGTGAAATTAGTTCTACTGCAAAGAGGGAAAGTTGGTTTCTGACTGCTTTGAACACAGTTGATAAGTGTTTCAGAAAATTGTTCCAGCCTGTAAAGCAGCTTCTCTGATTGAGTCATACATAAGATGATGTAAGAGGAACTCTCTGTGTTTCACTATGGCTTCATTTTCCTGATGTCAAAATCATTAAATTCCAGCACACTAATGTTTTTTTCATTCTTGAATTCACATCGATCAATTCTTGATTTTGGGCTTCCTGTGACTCTCAACCATTTTCTCCTAGGATGAAAAATAGACAATTTAGAAGACCATTTCATCTTTTACTTGCCTAAAGAAACACTTGATATTGTGAGGAGAAATTGGTTATTGATTGTCTCTGTGTGAAAGGATTTAAAGCCCCAGAAGGTGAAATAAAGGTAAGTACAAGTCTATGATTCAAAGTGAATCCAATCAAACTTGTTTTCACAAAAGTACCTCACCTGGCCTCACAGTGGGAGGAAAGGTTTTTGCAACTTGGAAATCAGTTTCACCTCCATTATCTATTAAGTATCCATTCTCTGCTCTGTCTGCCATACATTTCTTATAACTTAATCTCTATAAGAATGTAGTATCACATGAAAACATCAAGCGCCTCTCATTGGCTGAAGACAAGCACATTTTTCATGGAACACAAGTGCAAAGTTTAAATGGCATTCCCTATGTAAATTTCGTCTGTCTATATTTTCTGTGATGCTTTTTCATGTAAGCCATTAAATAGTAATAACATAATTTTTCACAAGTAAATTTTTCAAAGACTACAAATTGCACTTGCCCTACCAGCTCGTGAAATTTTGTGATCATTGAAGAATTCACTTTACCTTCCTCTACCCCCTTAGCCTAGTTATTACATTCATAATAGTGTGGGGATATCTGGTTTGGCATTGACAAGCTGATAGAAAGACTACTTGAAACTCAGAAAATCGTAAACATTTGAAGTTGTCCTTCAATAGCATATTGATTAAATGGATGATTTGATTGAAGCCAGATGAGCTAATATATCTCCTTTTTATTTCAAGCTCTCGCCTATCTACAGCATAGTCAAGGAATGATATTGCCAAGGATCACCAAAAACTTGGAAAGGAAAAGAAATACAGAAGCTTAAGGCCTCAATCGAATCAATAGTTTTTCAGATGATAATTAATTGTTTTAACAACAAACCACAAACTGCTAGGGTGATTTATTGGTGGTTTTGAGGTTTGCTCCAATCCATATGCTGAACATTTTTATGATTGATCACTCCTCAATTGACCTCTCAGAAAGAAGTGGTCACCCTTTTCTGAGTGTTATATTACATCAAGAAATCTAAATTGAAACATTTCTTACATGAGACGAACGTTTGCAGTCTCTCCCTGAAGCTGTCCAATCACTGTGTTGTGTGGTGTGTTCATTACCCAGCCAACCAGTTTGTGTTTGGTGGCATTAATCTTGGTGTACTAAAAAGTAACAAGAATCAATTAGTTATAGTTGCCGACCAGTTTTGACTTTTAAGATGAGGGTACTCTTATCATTGAGCATAAGCTGATTATACTAGAAAAGCATTGATTACCATTATATTTTCTCAATTAATCATTACCATAACTACAATTTCCTCAAATGTGATTAGTAACCTGCTTTCTTTTACAATAATTATTCTGTAAAAGCATAATTGGACAGTTGGCTGTCATTCGGCACCTGTAATGTAAACTATTAATAGGTAATTACATGATTTCTCATGTAATTTGGGGTGAATAAGCACTTGTAAATTTTTCAATGACGACAAATTGCACATCCCCTACTATTTCAAGTGATTCTGTTTGCAATTTAGCTAAGCTTATTTGCATCAAATTGTACCAGATATTACTTACACAAATTGGACTCCACTCTGTCCTATTATCAGTATTAATTCCCAGATCTCAATTACATGCAGCCCTCTCATGAACTGCAGATCAATTTTTGCAGGAATGCCTTCTAATTTATGTTGTTGACTTGCTGTCCAGCTAAATAGGAAAACTCCATTGGAAAGCACTGTTGCCATTTACTGCTGATTTAATTTAATTTTTAATTTACTTAAGAAAATGTTCCAATGAAAAGTCATAATCTTTTCAGAAGATCAAGCAACAGGTTCCTGCAGCTGGACATGAGGACAATTATTTGATGTCTGGGTCTTAGGGAAAAATCAAACCAAAAACATTGAAAGAAAACTGCGTTCCCTCTGTGGATATCAAGTTGCAATTAACACCGCATCCACAGTGCTAAGTTTGAACCCCAGAGCTGGAGTTGTTTAATCAAGAAAATATTACCTTTCGAAAAAATACACCTGAAAAAAGGAAAAAAAAAACGTGCATCAGAATTAAACAGCTCAGTTACTTTGAAATATGAGAGTGAGTCAGTTCATAAAGTTTATAAAACCTTCGATTTTCTGTCATCATTAAAAGCGTTGGCAACTAGTTTCTGTAACCGTTAGGGATTTAAGGAAAATGAACAAGGAGAGGTGGGGAGGTCTATATGTAGAAAGGAAAGCCTACGATGAATTTGAGATATTAAAAACCAGAAAACCTTATTTCGCTAGTAAGCTTCCGAGGTCATTTTCCACTCTTCGTTTGATGATAAATCTGAGCTGTTCCTTCGTTATCAAGCCACAGGCTTCATCGATCGAATGCGTGTTAACCAAACTTACCTTGTACCTTCCCAAAAACCTCAAAGTCCACTGAACAGAGAGAGCTTGCCTTTCTACCAGCCGCCATGTTTGTTTACCGGCGTCATAACAACGCTGTTATATAAAAGTTACCAAGTGTCCTTAAGCTCATTCCCAGTAGCTGCTCAAATTAAATCATGGAGGAGAAGAGACGGTACACGTGCGATCGTGAAATGTTCTAGTAATTTGAGGAATTCTGATCCGTAAACATGAATCCTCTAGTTCGTTCACAGAATCTTTGTTTTCCACTGAGCTCTCTGCCAGATGATGTGGTCTTGTATCTCGCACAATACCTCAGTCCGCGCCAAATAGGAATCATGGCACGACTAAACCGACATTTCCGGAAAATATTCAACTCTCCTCATCTCTGGAGATATATCAACTTGAAGATACGACTTCACGATAGAAAGATTGCCTCCGAGGCCATAGAGATCCTTAAAGTTAGAGGTATAAGAAACCTGGAATTCGAAAATATGGTGCACTCATATTTAAAACCTTATGAAACAAAAACCGTGCAGCCACTTTTATGTCCTCACCTTGAGAAACTTACCTTTAAAGTTACGACTCAGTTTACTCTCGAAGCTCTTTACAACGCTGCTTCCCAGGGAAAACTTAATCTCAGGAGGCTTGCATTTGGAACTGTGGACATAAAGTTACAAAAAAGGATAAAACGGACCTTTGAACAAGTGTTGAAAAGCCTACCCTCAATTGAAGAAGTGAGCTTTGGAAGAGTGGATGTGAATGACGTAAGCGTGAAAATTTTTGGTAAATGTGCTTTTTTGTGGATAATTGTTTATTAGTGAAATGTTAAATAATCTGCAAAATGTAAAGTTTTTCATAGTACATAGAAATGCCATTAACTCCCATTTATGGTATATAGTTCACAATGCTGTCATCTTCATGCAAGGGGATGTTGAAGATAGACTTAAGAATGTGTTTCTTCATCTTTATCATCACTGTGACAATGAAAAAACCAATGGTGCTGATATTAGTTGATTATTTTAGTAAGATGGTTACCAATCCCCTTTTAAAGAGTGGCCCTTTTCTTCATCATTATCATCATCATCATTTTTTTGTCACTTCCAAAGTAACATTTTTCCCATTCAACAGAATGATAAGAGAAAGTGACCTCCAAGAAAACACTTGGCACTGGTTGTTTGAAGAGGGGGAAAGGCTATCCACACGATAAATCTTTATCTGGTGGATAGTGCAGAGCATTTTCCTAATACTTACTTCAATCACTTTTTTTTTTTAAATTTAAAGGAGCTAGTTGAACCAGTGACCAGTATTAGGAGGTAATTCCACGTTTTAGCCCCTTGAAAATGATACAGTCGATAACAATTGGCTATTCATGTGTCATAGCAGTGAATTTGACCATCAAACAAACTGAGAAACATCAAAGGCACTAGCTGGTTATGATATTAAAACATACATTGAATGTAGCCATTTGCAATGCATTAATATGGAAAATATTTGTTGTCTTCTTTCCTCTTAGTCAGCAGGCTCAAATCCACTGGCAGATGATGTGCAGAGGGCTTTATGCAGCAGTGGGAAATTGACAAGCATCTCACTTGTATGTCAAGAGTCAGTAGAGATGTCTTGGCTCAAAGCAGTTGTCAGTAGTAATCCACACTTGCAAAAGTTGTGTCTGAGTTTGATATGGCTCACGGATTATGGTGAAGCAGGTGAACTGTCTATTTTCCTTTTTTTAAGGTTTGCATACATGGGCTGCAGTATTGATAACATGCTAAGTATTTTTTTTATTTGTTTTAGGAGAATTACACGATGTTGAACAAGGTGTGTTGTCTAGCCTAGAAACATTTGAATTACATGTACGTGACACTTATCACAACAGCAGAAGACTAACAAACCACATTCTTGATTGGGCATTTCCAAGTAACAAAGTACCATACGAAAACCTTACAAGCTTGGATGTGACATGTCCCCATAATCCCATTATGTTTACACAGCTTCTTAAATTTCCTGCTTTGAAGAGGCTGAATTTGACTGGTTCATTTGTGCCCAAAGAGCAATCCCTATGGGATTTTCCCAATTTCCAAACCTTGGAGTGGTTAGATTTAAATAGCTGCCGTGGAATCAGTGGTGATCAACTACACTTTCTGTCTCAAAAAGTGGGAAAGACTCTCTGCTACTTAGGCCTTGCACAAATTCCAATGATTACCAATAATAATCTACGAGAACTGGCTATTATGTTTCCTGTTCTTAGAACCCTTGACCTGAGTGCATGTTTAAGAATCACAGATGCATTGCTGGTGGAGTGGTACATTAAGCACAATAGAAATGAATGGCCAAAGTTGAGAAAAATCATTTTGAAAGGTTGTGAAGAAATCAGTGTGGATGTTGTAAACTCAGTACGGTTAAAGACAAGAAATCAACTTCTCGTTGACTTGTGAATCCTCTTGCTCTTTAGAGAGTTTGCAATTGTGGAACCTTTTCTTAACCCTCACCATGCAAACAGCAGTATGTCTAGTATCCATGCTGTTCTTTATGCATTTCATATGGTACTGACAACAAGAATTTGTTTGAAAATCAAGAGCTTCTTAAGATGAAAGCCATTTCCTTTATTCCCATGACCTACTTGCTTGATTTAGGGAGAAATTTGAAGCTAGGTACTCTTTGGGGTTAACTTGAATTTCGAACTATTTTAGTGATGCATTTGAAGAACATATTCTAGGAATGTAGCTCAGAATTGAATTTCAAGAATGCAATTTGGATACAATTTAGAGGGACCTTTGAGCTGCATTTTGAAAGTGTATTTGGAAATTCACTTTTGCATGTACTTCAGGGATGCACTATGGGGATAAACCATTGCTGTAAGAAATCTTGAACAACTGTTCTAACTTCGGTGCTGCTTAAACAGAATATAGATATTTATTACATAGGTGTTAAAATTTAATGAATAAATCATTGCTACATTATTCAAGAAACACTAAAGCATTGAAAAGACAAATGAATAAAGAGGGTAAGTTTCTAAAGAAACTTATGTGCTACACTGCTAGAACAAGATGAATCAAACACTAGAAAGCATAAGAGGTCAAATATCTATCATTGACAATATGTCTGTACACGCTAAAACGCAGGCGGAGCATGACAGAAGACTCAAAGAGGTACTTAAGAAACTTGAGAGTGCTGAAGCAACTCTTTATACTGGAAAATGCGAATTTTCAAAAGAGAACTCAAGTTTGCCGGATATGTTCCCAACCAAGATGAAAAATTTGCAATTGGGAGAGGACAGATTCCATCCACATCATAGATCCTTCCCAAAATGTGAGTGACATGCGCAGACTCCTCAATATGGTCAACCAGCTGTGGTATCCAGTCCACTGCCCAGACAATTGTAGTTCATCTTGTGCATGCGCATACCGTTTTGAACAAAGAATGCCACGTGTTTGTAGTTGTCAGAGAGTTTAGTTATTGAAAGAGTGCATTATATAGAGGCGCTGGCTACACGGGCGACGAGGATAACACACAACAGTAGCAGGGAAAGGAAGAGAAACTTAGCAACAGAGGTTTGCAAAAGTAGCCAACAAGCGAAATACTGCGACGCGTGAATCCATCGCTAGACAAGCAAACATGTCTGACACGGAACAACCACCACCCAACTAAGCAGGTGCAATGCAAGATATTAAAGCAACAAGAAACCTAAGATCTCAACCATTCACCCCAGGAGATAACCCAATAGCCACAAGAAACGTGTGGGACGACTGGCTCTTAGAAATTGAATGGGAATTCAGATATTTCAAGATTACCGAACTACTCGACTATAAAGATGCACTTATAATTTATGGCAGAAAAGAACTCGCCCGCCTGGAGAAAAGTTTACCAAATCTGACAGATGGCGATTAAGACTACGAAAATTTGAGAAAAAGCTGAACGACCACTTCAAGCTAAAAGAAAAATAAATACTACCCAAGATACGTCTTCCTTAATATGAGATCAGCCCATGACGAAAACAACTAACCCCTGTGCTGCTCGGTTAAGAGAGAAAGCCAACAACTGCGACTTCAAAATTGCGATGAACGAATCGTGGACCTTATCCAAACAATAGCATTTACTCAATGTCATCTGAGAGACATTTAGGGGACAGGTTGCCGTCTCGGCCAGTTCACTTCTTAAGTGGCACCATGACCAATTCAGAGAAAAGATACAGCCAGACAGAGAAAGATGCCCTGGCAGTACACTGGGCAAAGCGCAAGTTCAGCATTTACCTCCTGGGAGCACCAAAATTAAAGATCATTACAGCCCACAAGCCATTTCTCCCAATGTTAAACAAGGCAACCACGCGACTCCCACCAAAAATTGAAAAATGGGTAATGAGAATGCAAGATGACCAAAACAAAGCAGACTATAGGAGGAAAATATGGGTACCCAAGCATGAACAGTATGATTGAACAAATCATAGGTCACTGTTATGCTTGTCAAGTTACCACAAAACAGGCAGGAACCCGTTAAAGTCACAGACACGTGGGATGTTATAGTTGTAGACTTCAGTGCACCATACCC